GACACGGATGCAGAAAATCGATATTTCTGTCGTGGATGCCGGAGGTCGCATGCATGTAGACATCCTCGGGGTCGATCCACGACTCTACTCGTGACACCCGGTGTTACCTGGCCCGGCAGGTCAAACCCAACCAAACAAGACGATGCACGCACACAAGGAACAGTCGACGATCACACGACCAATACGGAATTCACTTTACCTGGCCCATGTATATATACATATACCCCCCGCGTGCCGACTCGACTGACTTCGTATTCGGCCAATACACCGGTCCCGTACACCGAAATTTAAATTCCATGGAAACGCCTAACACCGGCAGCTACGTAAACATCGCCAAGAAAACGCAACCGGTATTCGACACAGCGGGACACTGTTTGCTCTTGACTCCGATGCCGTTTCCGGGGCCACGGAGATTTCCTCGCACCCCCCTAAGGGAAGTTTTGCTCGAGCGGGATGCATCGTGTTTTCCGGGCAGCAGCGGCAAGAAAGCACTCAATAGAGGAAAATTTCTTGGAACCTCTTTCGAAGTCACCCACGCGACGTGTCTCCTTTTCGTTCCTTAGAGAACTTTAAGCCCCTTTCACGCTGGCTGCTTTGAAGTTTATATGGAATTCAAGGGGACATCTTTCTTATCCATTGAGGTGTTTTGAAGATATTGTGCCGCTTTTGTTTACTTGGTTTTCTTGTAAATTGTTGTTTTCTTTATTTGTTGTATGGGTTGGAAATAAAGGCGATTGTAGAACGAAGACGAGAGACCACGCGGTAGGTCATGGTGGAATAGTGTCTTGAGCTGTTTGGAATGTTCGTGGCGTTTCGCAAGTGATGTCTTTGTTATGTTCTTGGGAACGTGTAGATATTGTCTTGGAGGTATCTTCTATGCACGTGATTCGTCTGCGTTTTGTTTGCTTTTGTGGGAAGTAGCAGCGGAAATGTGTGTGTACAAGAATCTGCACTACTAGGATTGGATCATTTCACTGTGTACACCATATATTGTGTATCAAACATTGATTTATTATGGAATTGTTCATTCAAATTGCTGAAATATGTAACTTCTATGGAAAAGAATAAATTGACGAGTCATCAAGAAGATTTTTAAACAAAAGGAGACAAATTGTATGTAACACATGTAATGAAATAATATGGAATATTATTATTTCTCGACATTACACACGCGTCTGAGATTCAACTTCTACCAGAAAATAAGGATAAATACTTCCAATAACAGACGATGTGGAAATTGTTCAGTATTAATGAAGATTTTCATGAATCAACGTATTGGACACTAATAACGAAATGCATAGCAAGTGCGTTAAATTTCACTGAGCCTCAGTTGGCAACTCTTATTTTGTTCCTATATTTATGACTACTTGTCAGTACTAGCTTCATCGTGGCCTTATACATAACGTTATGCTAAACCTATGAATACATTAGATTCCGATAAACTCAGAGGGCGCGCAATACTTTGGAACATCGGTATGGATTGTAGATATTAATATGTTCTATAGTTCGCTTTAATATACATTCGATGCTGGTAGTTTTAATGTAAATAAACAATTATCTCGATATAGGCGACATATTCCGGAACACCCTAATAGTTTGATATTACAAATAGAAAATATGTCCCGGAAATGAGTCTCAAGCAACTGATTGCGTCTCGCTTGTATGTGAACCTCAGTTTGTTATCTACGCTGCATTCTCGCGTATGCGTCACTTGTATATGTGTCATTGTTACAGTATGAAACGATTCGATGCTTTTAATACTTTCCATGTGGGTCACTGGTAACCTGCACTTTGCGTCAAAAACGAGACTGCTATCAAGTACACGACTCTATACTTCATTTGAGCGTTGAAATAAGACAGGTAGAGAAGGTCAGCGAAGAACTTAGCTACTACTTCCTTCTAATTAAATTTTCGCACGAAACCTGAAGTTTCTAGCAACATGGCATTCAACTAAGAAATGAGCAAATTCATTATCCAGACACGTATTGCACAAAGTCATTCAAAATTTTGGAAAATCCACTGTTACTAACTCCACCAATTTTTGTAAGAAACTACAAGCCAGTCATTTTGACTGCTGTGGTAATTTTACTGTTGTTTTATTGTATTTTATATGTTAGTATATGCTATAGTTCGTAAAATTATACTATTTATTATCGGGATAAAAAATTTCAGAGAACGAACAGAAGATTTTTTAAGAACTAGTTGCCTATTTTTCATAGAATACACACGACAAATAGTACTATAAAATAAAATAATACATCATTTTGATCATTTTGAGGATGATGCTTATAGATACTCTATCTCTTCTTTATGGATTATTCAAATAAAGCTATACCCATTTCTGCGTAACTTTTTCGCAGCTGATGTATATGTATGTATTATACGGTAGTGCAAAAAATATGGATACTGCCAACCATAAATATCATTACAGTTATCGAATATAAAGCAGACTTTAAGAGGCGACTGAATTATGAGTTTCTGGAATAAATATGATCTAGAGACCATCAAACCCTCACTAGACCATCCTTATGCTAATATCAAATAAAACTAATAATGCAAAATATGTGAATTTTATACAATATCACATTTTCCTGATACACAGTAATTGCCACAAATACTTATGGAAAAAAATGTACCCTATAAAACAGTGTCGTCACACATTAGATCCCCTTACTCGATTCACTGGTAACAATTTTTTAACGAAACACATTTATGGTATTCGTTTTAAAGAGACGTTGAATTCTCCAGACGATTTTGTTACCAACAGACGACACGCAAACATCAACCCAACGATAAAAAAGTTAAAATGCTCCAAAAAAAAAATTCGTCTGAACCACGTACGACATGTTCTTGCACGCGAGAACGCGGCTTAATCTCGATGCCTTCAGAAACCTCGTCTCCGTACACAAGTCTTCCATACCCGAACACGTTCCTTTCCGCACACAGTATTCAATTTACGAGTTCGCTGTGTATCTCTCCGACCAGCCTATGCTTCCATTCCTCATCGCGTCTGGCGAGTGTCGTCGGAGCAGACGGCGCTCGTCGTCGGCCTCGTCTCTGGAAGCTACTCTTGGCGGAAACGATATATAGCGTGCTCGTAAAACAGACTTTCCGCGAGCGAATTCTATTGATGTTACAGGAACCCGTTGCTGTGCGCGTTGCTCCATTTTGACGCGTCAAAGAACGTGCCAGGTAACTAATGACTAAGACTGCGGAAATCCACGAAAATTCCCAATAATTTTAGACACAGATATGTAAAAAGTGAAATTGGATTTGATTTCCCCGCACTATGGGCTTTAGTACGTGTCAGTGATAATACATGAATAGTAGTAAAATTAGAATCTCTATTTCGTTGCATTTTGCAAGGTGAACAGATGCTGTAAATAGATAAATGACTGGATTGCGAATCTAAATTGGTTCACGTGTAAAATTAATGGTTCGGAAGATACTGTGAGATGCAAACTTTGGTAAAGATGCGTAATGTTCTGGTATAATCTTTAATCGGGTATATCTCGTCTTATCAACGGGGCTATTGCGCTGTCAATTTATAGTTCCGGAGCCAGTGAAATTTAACCTTTTTTTTTTTGAAATTCTTATGCTTCTATACTTTCTTCTACTATTTATTATTACTATAAGCGATTTCAGCAGGTATCGAATAACGTAAGGGAGTTTCATTTCTTGACAGCTTTAACCCTTTGTTAGACAACTTTAGCAGCCAGGTAACTTTTGCATCAGTTTTTCGTATTTAAACTATTAGCGAAATAAATTTCAGATGACATTTAATGTCGTGAATGCAATATATTTTTTTATCTGGTTAACACTATAACATCGCGAATTTTTTTCATTTTATACTAAGTTAACTAATGCATCGAAATATTTTCAGCAGTAATCAAATCCCATAAGAAAAAAGGTGACTGGCTCCAGGAATGTTATAGCTCAGACGGGATTTGTCGGAAACGATATGTTTGACACAATTTGCGTCATCTGGTACAAACCCAGTACTCAATTTAATGCCATACCGCGTCATCCATTGATAAGGAGTAACACATGACATAAATTTTTCTATAGTTTCCGTTTCTGTGAAACGTACTATCAAAATGGGAATTTGCAAGGACATCCACAGTCTACTAGTTTATTTAAGAGTTATTGTATCAATTTCAGACTACGTTTTATAACACGTTTTATGCGGGGGCTGTAACTCGCCCTTACGTCTCATAACTATATAAAGACATTTGTGTTATAGACACCCTTTTTTCAATACTTTTTTAAAATGATCGGTTTTGCTGTTCTAATTCCTACCTTTTTAAAGGGTAAGGAAGGTTTAGTTTTATCTACAAGGGAATAAAATTAAACATAAAAATACCAAATTCTACAGAAATCACACAGAAAGGCAAAGACTAAAAGAAGAAAAAGAAATACATAAGCGACTACAGTCAGCCTAAGTCCGTGCACCACCAAAGGAGACTACGCTTATTAATAGAAGCTTGCAATGTTAGCATTTCATACAATATTCAACTGACCACTGGTGTCAACTGGAAGCATAGAAACTATCGAACATAAACAGAGTCGAGACAATTCTCATGACCCATCAAATATAGAACTCTTCGCACCCCCACGATTCTATCAATTCTTTCGTCATCCTTTCTATAAGCCATACGTGCACTTTGGCTCTAGATCCATCTAACGAGCAGAGTTTTCCATTTTCCATCAGAACTGTGAAACATCGCCTAATTCTGTCAGCACCGTTCGGCCCTGTCGTTGCCGGATATGCTAAAGCGAATGGGGGATCGATAAGAGCCGGTATTACCCGGAGTGTCGACCTCGAATATATTCTGTTCTCTACCCGACGAAAAACCAGCTGGCTAGAGGTGTCTCGGTCCAACGATCGGGCTAATGTCCCTCGACAGAATCCGCGAAATCACGGACATCGATGCTCCGATCGTGGTTAATCGAAACAAAGAGGATCGATCGAATCGCACGCAAAATCGCGATCTATTTACCTTGGTCGATTTTCTGTAACGTTCGCCGAGCGTTTATCAGCGATGCCCCCTGCCCCGGCTCGCTGCCACTGGCTCTCTGTGTATCACCGTCTCTCTCTATCGGACGTCCGCGAAACGTGTTTGTAAACGATCCCAGCGACACCACGAAAATCGACTGACTCTCTCGGCTCTGTTGCGACGAGACGAGGTTCGACACGTTGCAGACAGAAGGCCGTTTTACACTGACCCCCTGCCACTGGAACTTCTACGTATAACCATCGTCTACGTCCCTGCCCACGGTTGCCATGTTGCGTGTGGCTCCGTTCCCCTGTGGTCGTGTGCCTCTACTCGCGCGTCTCTCTGCTGACTGTATACGTGGGTGTGGGTGTGGGTGTGGGTGTGTGTGTGTGTGTGTGTGTGTGTGTGTGTGTGTGTGTGTGTGTGTGTGTGTGTGTGTGTGTGTGTCCGCGCTCGCGTGAACGCGTGTTCTATAGTCTGCTCGATGGTACACGACTCGGCTGGTGATCGTTTTTTGTGCCTCCCCCCCCTCCCGCCCCTGGGAGAACCGACCGTGCGTGCACGCTCGTGAACGACTGTCCCCGGCACGACAAAGAACTCCGAAAACGCTTTGTGACAGCGATGGTCGCGAGGAGATCACGACGATCGCCACCACAGTCCTCCTGTGCTCCGGATCGGTTCATGGCTGATCCAGTTCACGCCTTGAAACTGTGTCCTTTGAAAGATCGTGATGGAGAATGACTGGATTGGTGAAACGAATTTTGACAATTTCCTTCCAATTGTCGACGGCTGATCCAGTCGATGCCTTGAATCTTTGTCAATTGATAAATCGTGATGGAGAGTGCTTGGATCGATGCAACGGATTTTGAAAGTCTTTTTGTAATGGCAATGGTCACTAGAAGATCGTGGATATCGATCGTTTTTGTAGTTTGAATCGATCGACGATTGATCCAGTTTGTGACTTGAATCTTTGTCGATTACAACATTGTGGGGGAGACAAAGCCTCTGGATTGAGGAAAGGAATTTGGAAGGAACCTCTTTTTGGATAGCGATGGTTGTAAGATTTTCCTAGATCATTGCAGTCTCCGTGCTACATATCGATTAACGACCGAAAGAATCGACACTTTGAGTCTTTGTCAACTGGAAACTGTTAAACACAACTCGTCTGTATTGATGAAGAGAATTCTGACACTATTCATTTTCATGACTGCGATGGTCGCCAGATTTTGTCGTTTGGTAGTCTCCGTACTCCGAAATATTTCACAACGGCACCGGTTGATACACTAATTGTCTGTTAATATGAAATTGTTGAGAAATGGTCAGTAGAGACCAAATCTTTAAATTCGATAACAAAGACTTTAAAGAAACCTGTATTGCTGCGACGATCACAAAAGTATTTCAGTAATCAGCACGATCTAGGCGCTCTAGTTCGGTCCACGATCTACCAAAAAGATAGTTTGAATCTACGGTTAGTATAAAATATCACCCACGAGTCATTGCTTCTAAAGGATTTTGAAAGCTAGGAACTAGAGCATATACTGTCGATTTGAACAACCGATTTCAATCGAGATCCCCAAACGCGTCACATTCGAAACCTCGATATTCGGCAAGTATCGCCGATTTTCAGTCTCTTATGCAATCAACCGATAGCCCTCGAGAACATCTTGTCGAAGAAATATTCATCAGTCAGAGAATGCACGTATAACGAATCGATGACAATGAAAAATCACGAGGTACACTCGATCGTGCCCGATGTTCTCTGTAATCCGTTCCAACGAATGTTTCGTTGTGAAACCGGGATCGATGGTAGCCACGAAACGCAGTCCACTGGGTGCAAAAATTTCCACGCGATTGCGTAATTTCCTTGCCAAATTATTGCCCAATAAACAACGGCGTTAACGACGAAAAGGAATTCCTCCGTATTCTTAATTCTCCTCCGTAAATTAATGAACGAGATCCAAACGAACGATCCGTTTCGATAAAATTCTGCAGCGAGTTGACATCGTTCGATTGATTCTTCGAGGCTTGTTAACACTGTGGTTCCAGGATAAATTCTCATTTTGTCGAAAATTCAAGCGTAACGTGAAAAACACAGTGAATCCAATTCGGCTGTTTACGGTCTGCATTCGCAGCCAATTAGATAACACCGTTTGACGTCATCGGATTGCATTCTGTCCGAAAAATGAAAAATGGTTGGCTTCGCGATTAGAAAGATTTATGTAGATAGAATCGTCCGCGAAAGGACGCTGTCTCGTCGCAATTTTTGTTAAACACACGTAATCGTTCTTAGGATGATTAGGCATACCGACGTAATCGAATTTGTTTTTTGTTTGCAAAAAAATTCGCGGATGAATTGTAAACGATGCGAAATAGAAAAAGACGAGACACTTTTTAGGCAGATTTACTTATCTTCGGACCGATTAGACCGTCGTTGACCTTTGGCTCTGCGTCTCGGAAATCATCATCGTGGATTTCTGTTTTTTTTTTGTTTTGGTACTCTTTACATTTCGTACTACTTTACAAGAAGATTTCTACGTACAAGGACTGGCATAATTTTTCTGAACCACTTAACGCTAATGAAAGAAGACAAATAACTCGATATTTATACCCTTCACCTTTCAATAGTTTTTTACTTTCTTATTTATTAACTGATTATTATTTCATGTATGTGTATCGTAATACCTTTATTAGTGTAAAGTAATATATTACAATCACGTTTCTTGCTTGTAGACTATTCGCCAGATTAATTCCAATCGTGTTTAACCCTCGTGTACTGTTCGGGTCAATTTGACACGAACTCAAACTTTAACTTTTAATTTGTATGTCTTTATCAGAGAAACATGTAAATTAATTTGACACCAGCAGTTTACATAATAACGATCAAGTGACACGTAAATATATTTCCTTAGTTCAATTTTAATTGTTATACCAAGTAAAATTCAAGGAATAGTATTGCAATCATTTATTGAACAAAACACGAAGACTAATTATGCCTGCGTACGTGTTTAAGCTGGAAAAATCATCCGATTAACAGATTCATCTTACTACATTTTGCTAAAGTAGATACTCTCTAAGAGCCCTGCGGTTCTTTCTCCACTTAAGGTCATTATACTTTTACTCCTCAAAACTTTTTTAGTGCCCTACGTGGCTACGGAATGTCCCAAAAGTCGATTATTGAGTTAAAAAATTCATCATTACAGTAAGTGAAAGGTATACAGGGTGAGTCATTTAAATAGATCCCCCGAAATATCTTGGAAACTATTGATGATACGAAAAAATGTTTTATGAAAGTGAAATTTGCTTTCGAACAAAAACCATATATTTTTTAGTGCAGTCGTATATTTGTTTAAGCTAATTTAATAGAATTCTAGATTTTCCTACCATACTTGCTAAAAAAAAATGTACCAGCTTAAAGTTTCTATATTAGTGCGTATCACTCATATCTGTTATAAATGCATAAAACTTATACTTTACTCGTTAGTAACCTGTAAACGTCATAAATGTACAGCATACATATTTACACTATAATCAAAGACGTTACTAACTTTTATCATGTCTAAATGTCTCCTGAATGTCTGTACATTTCCATTTATCGAAAACCAAAGTATAAACCTCATGAATTGTCCAAACATGCACAATCAAGTCATTACTATTATGTACGAATTCCATTCACGTTATTAGCAAATTTACCGAACCAACCATTTTTTCTGAACAATCTTTTCAGTGTTATGTTTCACGTGTACAGAAAAATTTTGGCTAAGGAAGGGTTAAGTGATAAACGAGACAGCGAGAGGAAAAAAACGAGACTACGAATACACACACGATGTATCGCGACGAAACTCTGTGACCGTGGATCACGCATTATCATTAATCGCTGTGAGGCATTCTTACGTAAAATTCCCATACAGCTTTGTCGACCAGTTGCATAACGACCGGCAATTCGTTCGCCGATCTTGTCAATCCGCTCGAAACCAGACTCCTCGAGAAGACGACGCCCGCAGACTTTTCGGAGTGTTTCACTCGGATCTCCACTACGTCGATCATCCGTGGCCCGTATAGAACCCCCTGTGTCTTTTCAGACCTATTTTATTTTATCTTACAGGCTTACAAAAAATTTGAAAAAATTCAGAGATACTACTTCCTAGGATCTCTAGTACATGGTTCAATACTTGTTAAAGTTGAATATTAAAAGCTTTTTTAAATAATAATTCCTTCGTTTGAGAGATATTTGTAAGCGAAATTCCGTTTATGCCATAAAAAACCCAAGGGGGTCACAAAAGGTTAAATGCATAATAAGAATCAATATACTCGATAAAACTGACAACGCCAAACCAATCCGGAGGATCCATCCAACCAAGAATCGTTCCGACAAATCGGCCCTTGCTACGCAGGGCTCAACGGCCGCCATAAATTCGCGGACGTGCCTAGACCGGGGAAGGTATTTCGAGGAGTTATTTCGAGATAATGAACGATATCGGGCCCGCAGCTAAAAATAAAGATTCGAAGCCGCGTAACTCGGGCTTGGAAGTACCCCTAAATTATTTCGCGAACGCGACGACCGAGCTAGTGGCGAACGAAAGTGGTTTATTCGGTCGATTTTATCGGCGACGAAAGCCGCTTCCGCCGGCCGAGAAGAAAACCCGGCCCACTCCGGGTCCGGTGATTTAGTAACTTTAATGCCATTCTGAAGTCAATTTACGGGAAATCAAGTTAAACGCGGCTCCCTTCCGGTAGCGGCCATTCCGCGTGATAAATGAAACACGTATTCCGGAAGGACCGCGAGCACGGATGGTCTTAACTTTTCACGAGGATGATGCGAGCTTTGATCCGTTATCCCATTCTCTGTCGCGGAATTAACTCTGAAAATGCAGCCCGGTTCGCCGGAAATGAGAGAACGGGAAGTTCTGGGGAGGGAGAAAAATGTATTTGACACGGTCTCCTTCCGGTCCCGCCTGTTAAGAGGCGTTTACATTGGCCCATTAAATCCCAAGCAGTGAAATATGGCGATTTTTACACATATAATTGTTTATTACATATAAATGTGTATGAGGAAGAATACAAATGCTATTAAAAAAATGTAAGATCCGTACTTTTTATGTAACCAAGCGTTGCGTTTATGCAACTTTGGGCAATTTTTTGTTGAATATATAACTTATATAAATAAATATAAAACAAGCCTGTAACTGTTTCCTCTGTAAAAGTCTGATCCTCAAA